CTTGAAATTTGGAACAAATTTCTTGAATATTTTCTTCCTCTACCACCGATAAGGATCTTTTGCCTTTATCCTGTTTTTGCACTGGATCTTGAATTCTTGATGTTGAAAATGTAGAAGCTACTCTCTCTCGCCGCCATTGCCATGGATTTGCTCGACCAGCACCACCGCCTCTAGGATTTTGCCCAGATCTGCCTTCAGAACCAAGATTGACTCCCCATCTCTAGGATTTGATCGACCACCACCCCCTCTAGGGTTTTGAGAACCTCCAAATCCTCGGCCTCTCCCCATAACTTTGGTACAATTCCTAGCTTCATGCCCTAACTCTTGACATCGAAAGCAAACCATTGGATCTCTACAATTTCTCGCCATATGCTTCGACCCTCCACAACGAAAACAAAGTCGATTCTTTCTTATGATCTCCGCAGAGAGAACACGAGAATGAGAGGAGTTTTTTGTTTGAGGCGGCGATCTAGGGTTTCTTTTTTTAACTACCTTTACCCATTCCCCTTCAACATCATCCACCGTTAAATTTTCTTGAATTTTGTTCCTATCAATCTCCACCAAAGAATCTAACCCAACCCTAGTTACTTCTCTAACCCTAGTTTCAGGAAAAGACCCCAAACTAGGCCATGGATTGGGCTCATGATCAACTCTGGGCCTTGAAAAAAGAGAAAAATCAGAAGAACAAGGTTTTGAAGAATTACCTTCTCCCCAAATGTTGCAAGCTACAAAATTCCTCACATTAAAATCCATCAGCCAAAATTTCTCACCCCCAAAATTATCTTGATCTTGATTGCTCAAGTCTCTACGACTCAGTTCCTCTCTTTTTGTAAGTTGCACTTTTGTTTTCTTCTCTACCTTTTTAGAATGTTGATGAGTTGAAGAAAAAAAAAAATCTGAACAGTTCATGTGAGTAGAGAAGAGGTCGCTTATTTTTGCTGAGAAATAAAGAAATTCCCCCTTGATAATGTTACACTTTCATTGCAGGTATACAGGGGACGATGAGAGACTATCAACTTGCTGGATTAAATTGGTTAATACGATTATATGAAAATGGCATCAATGGCATTCTTGCTGATGAGATGGTAAGTCATGATACATGCTTAAATTGGTTTTGCACTGAGGTTTAGCTTTATTAAATGATGTTTACTGACTCTTCTTATGTTAATGGTAAGAGTTTTTTTCATGATATGATAATTCTTTTGTTTGTATATTATCACTTTACCAATTTGGAATTTCATCGAACGTTTTTTTCATGATATGATAATTCTTTTGTTTGTATATTATCACTTTACCAATTTGGAATTTCATCGAACTGAAGTATTCCTTCGTGTAGAAGAAAAACTCAATTATCTCATTAATGCTATTACATGTTTCATTTTGTAGGCAAAGGATATGTTAGAGAAGACCTCGAGTGCAGTCATTACATGAAGAACTTTGATGCTGGTTCTCGCATTTCTATATTATCTTTTTCTTGTGATTTGAATGGATATTAGAGACAAATATATAAAATTGGATGCTTTTTATTATGAGATATTGAGTAATCATTGTGTATGTATATGTTTTATCTTTAATATTATATTATCTATTTGAATTGGATATTCAGCACCTTTTGAGATAATTTTTGTGTATGTATATGTTTTTGGTTTCATTGTAAGATATTGAATAATCATTGTGTGAGATGTATATATTACATGTAAATAGGTAGATAAATAAAATAATCAAAATTTAAAAAATATTAAAATATACACTCCAAACGGTTACAACCGTTTAGGTAAAAATAAGCCCAAACGGTTGTCACCGTTTGGGCTAAATTTCGCCCAAACAGTGGTAACCGTTTGGACAAAAATCTAGCCAAACGGTTATAACCGTTTGGGCTAATTTTTGCCCAAACGGTTGTAACCGTTTGGACAATATTACTTTGCCCAAACGGTTATAACCGTTTGGGAATTTGCCCAAACGGTTGTAACCGTTTGGGCGACCGTTGGGGTAGACTTTTCCCCAACGGCTTTAGCCCAAACGGTTCTTTTTACAGCCCAAACGGTTGTAACCGTTTGGGACTGTGTTTTCCCAAACGGTTCCAATCGTTTGGGCTGTCCTGTTTTGTACTCGCGTACGGTCTCTTTACCTCTGCCACCAAATTATTCGTGCTCCAGTTCTCATCTTCGAAGTGTCTTGCTTTCCCCGTCACTGACTCGCCGGTTTCTCATTCTCTTGTCGCCAATGACGGCTTGCCATCTCACATCATCTCGTGCTCTGGCCACCATCTCCGGAGTACCATGTTCTTGGTGACAGAAACGACCATCTCCGGAGGATTGTTTGTATTTATTATAATATTTAGCTTGGACTGCAACATCGGTATGTAGGTTATTATTATGAAATATACATCAAAATAAGCCGGTGGATAATGTCTTATCTTAGAGATAAGATATTAATAATCCTAAGAAGTGTAGTATTCTATTTCTACGCCTTTGTGGGTGTTTGGTTACATAATTTTATAGAAAAGTTTTCTCAAAATGTCTGACAATGGTAATTTTGTAATTAAAAATTTTCTGTAGATTTTCGTAAATTGTGTTTGGTTCCAAAAAAAATTATAGAAATATTTTCTATAAAGTACAAAAAAGTACCAAAATTTATAAAAATTAATTTTCTCTCAAAATGGGCGGAAATCACCCAGAAATCCGACACCACATTGATATTTTTCTATAAAGTTGACACTTTTCTATAAATTTAGGGTGCGTTTGGTTCAATTTCTACAAATTATAGGAAATCTTGCTATTTTCTATAAAGTTATGGGTTATTTTCTTGTTTTGAACCAAACAAGCAATTTAAAAAAAACAAGAAAATTGGTAATTTTTGACTTCTCAAAACTTTTCCTATAAATTTTTTTTAAGAAATACAAGGAAATCATATTTTGAGTGGAAAACATTTCCTATAATTTGTAGAAATTTAACCAAACACCCCCTTTATATATAGATATATTTTAATACTTTTATGATGGGTGAATGAGAGAATAAACCAAAAACTTTTACATAGTGTCATCCAGGGTCGGCCCTGGGGTAAGCCCACCAAGCCCCGGGGTTGGGGCAACCCAGCGCCGGGGGGCAACCCATTCCTCCCCCTCCTTCACTCATCAAACTGTAATTATCTTTGATTTTTGAAGTGGACTTTGTAAGAGTACCTTTATGCAAAAATTCTTAGGGGTTCTATTTGTAAAAAACTCTAATGAATACTCAAAACCCTACCTAAAATCCGACCCGAATTCCTCAGCGTCCTCTCCTCCTTCCCGTTCGTCTCTGTTCCGCTCACAAAAAAAGAAAAAAGAAAGAAAGAGAGAGAACCACTCCTCTCCTCCTTCCCCTTTCTGAGCCTCCGACAACCTTAGCCCTTACTCTGCTCCCGTTGGACCCATCCTTCAGGCTTCACCGCGCTGACTCCTCTGACCCAATCAGGTAAATTTTTTTAACTAAATATTTTAAGGGTTTTTTTGGACGGAAATTTGGGGTTTTGATGTTTTGCAATGAAATTAAGATTTCTGATTTTGAATCTTAGCTAAATCTTAGTTGTTGAATAATTGAATTAGGGGTTATGATGTTTTGGAATGAAATTAGGGTTTGTTTTAATAATAATGTTAATGATATTGCTAAGTTTAGTTGATTGTGATTTCATATACAGAAATGTAAACGTAGAATACTGTAACAAATTTTGAGCTATGAAAATATTATCTAGACAACATATGAAGAAGTGGCATAAACTAAAGAGTGACAGCTCATAATATATTCCTAGATGAAAGAACTATGATGATATTAATATAGGCCTAAATTTGTTGTCGTTTCTGGTCTGCAAGTACCATGATATTCATTTTTGCCTTCCAATTTTCGTGCACCCTGAATACAAGTTTTAATTCTAACCCTATGTTTTAATTCAGGAAAAGCTTTTCTATCTAGTTGGTCTTGTAATCTGGTATTAATGTGCTATAATATGTAGGAATTTTATAGACTACAGCACAACATGATGGGCGGGAGATGACAAAAACCGAGTAAGGATTAGAAAACAAAACTCTGGAGCTCATAATAGAAGAATCAAGCGATGTCAAGAAATGGAAAAATCACTACATGGCTCAATTTCTAAGCTATTCAAAGCAAAAACACAACATTCTCTTCTTTCGAGTCAAGTTGAAGAAGCTAGTGCCACTGCCAATATTAGTGAAAATATAGATGAGGCCATTGAGGAGCGCATGAATGAAGTCACTTATGCGGATGAAAGTCGTAATGAGGAAGCTAGTGATGAAGATCATGAAGAGCCTGTGAATGAAAATGTTCATGTGGATGAAAATGACAATGAAGTAGCTTTTAGTGAATATCATGAAAGCATACTTGATCTTGAGAAAGATGTGGAAGTAAATTATGATCCAGGATTGTGGGGAAGTATAAATGATACTAAGAGGGTGATGATAGTTCAACGTGGCCCTATCAAGATTTTAAAGAAAAATGATGAGTTTTCAAGTGAAAAGAAGAGTGGGAGAAATAGAAGTCTTTCTTTCAAATATTACATCTGTGAATTTCCAAATGGCGAGTAGCATGAAAGGAATGACTTGTCTATTCAAATGAACTGAATAGGGTATTTTATTTTTGTTGCAAGTTGTTCAAGAATAAACCAATGACAACCAATTTGGCGGAGAATGGAATAGACGATTGACATAACCTTCCTACAAAGCTTAGAGAGCATGAAAGTAATCCGGAGCATTGTGCAAATGTTGTGAAGTGGGTCGACTTTCAAAAAGGACTAAAACTAAAGGCAACAATTGATAAAGATATAGAAGCACAAATTGACAAAGAGAAAACTCGTTGGAAGATGATACTAGTTTGAATCGTTGCGGTTATGAAGACTCTTTCTCGAAATGGTTTGCCATTTTGTAGAACTAATGAGAAGATTTATGAGAAGAACAACGGATTTTTTTTTGTCAACTCATAGAGTTCCTTGCAGAACTCGATCCAATTATGCAATATCATGTTCGACGTGAGGTAGATAAAGAAGTTCAGAGCCATTATCTTAGCCATAAAATTCAAAATGAATTGATAATTTTGTTGGCCAATGAGATCAAAGCAAAAATTCTTGACAACATTTCAAAAACAAAGTATTTTTTAGTTATTCTTGATTGTACACCGGATTTAAGCCATGAGGATCAAATATCAATTATCATTAGATGTGTGGATATTGAAGATACAAATCAAGTCAAGGTGGAAGAGTTTTTTCTTGGATTTATAAAGGTTGATGATACGTCGGGACTTGGGCTTTTCAATCAACTTGAAGATACTTTGAATGAACTTAATCTCAACATAGATGATATAAGAGGTCATGGTTATGACAATGGGTCAAATATGAAAGGTAAACATTAAGGTGTATAAAGAAGACTTCTTGACATAAATCCTCGAGCTTTTATACACCATGTGGGTGCCATAGCTTAAACCTTGCACTATGCGATATGGAAAAATCTTGTGTCAAAGCTAGAAATTATTTTGCATATTTGCAAAAGGTTTACACTTTGTTTGCTGGATCAACACATCAGTGAGATGTTCTTAAAACATATGTAAAGGGTCTGACACCAAAGCCATTGTCGGTTACTCGTTGGAAAAGTCATGTTGAAAGTGTTAAAGCAATCTGATATCAAGCACCGGAGTTGAGAGACACTTTGATTGAAATTGCAAATAGTTCTAAGTAGGACATTGTGATGGCAGAAGCTAAAGGCTTGTGTAAAAATACTTTGGAGGATTTTGAGTTCTTGATTAGCTTGTGTATTTGGTATAAGATTTTAGATAAAGTCAATCGAGTTAGCAAAGTTCTTCAACAAGAAGAGATGAATTTGGCGGATGTAATTGCAAGAATAAACGAGCTTATTGTTTTCTTTCAAAAGTTTAGAGAAGAGGGTTTTGAAAACATGATGAAAGAAGCCAATGAACTTGCTAATGATATTGCTATCGATCCGGCATTTCCGATAAAAAGAGTGGTTCGTAGAAAGAAGCATTTTGATGAGGATGTGGAAGCGAATGTTGAATGTAGTCAATCACCGGAGGATAATTTTAGAGTTTCCTATTTCCTTCACATTATTGATCAAGCTCTTACATCACTCAAAGATCCTTTTGAACAATTCAAGCTCTGTGAAGAAATCTTTGGATTTTTGTTTAATACAAAGTTCATGAGTATTGGTGAACAAAAATTGATGGAACATTGCACTAAATTATAAAGATACTTGGAACACAACCTACAATGTGATATACATGGGAAAGATTTATTCAATGACCTACGAGCTTTGCAAAAATATTGTCGAAGGAAGTGACTAAATCAATAGACATCCTTGACTTCATAAGATCTTATTGGGATGATGGTGGCTTTTAATGTTGCATGGGTTGCTTATCGGATTTTGTTAACTATCCTTATTACAGTTGCCTCGGCAGAGAGAAGTTTTTCCAAGTTGAAATTGATAAAAAGTTATGTTCGCACTACCATATCACAGAAATGATTGAATGGATTGGCAATGATATCAATTAAAAATAAATACTTGGAGAAACTTGAGTATGATGACTTAATTGAAGAATTCGCTTCAAAAAATTAAAGGAGAAGTATTTTCCTTTGAATTAAATTGTAGCACAAATGTAATCTCTTCTTATATAAATATTGATTTTGCATGAGAATATTATCAGTTTGAGCCCAATATCGAACGCTAAATTGTATTATATGTATTCATTTTTATTGTTATTGTTCGTACCAAATTTTAATATAAGGGGCAAGTAAAATTGGATTGGGCTAGGACAACCCAAAGCTCGTGGCCGACCCTGGTGTCATCTCCTTCTCCGTTCAAATTCATGTATTAAGTGGTAGTAGCGGGGTGCTATGCGGGGGTTTGTCGCCGGTTGCACGGTATGACTGCCCTCCGCTGTTGATTAAGAAAGACATGGCGATCCTACAGAAAAGATTTGGCTTGATAACCATAAACTTATTGTTTTTGTTCTAGAACGTATACTAGGGTTTTTTTATTTTTGTCGCGCACAATCAAGTTGTAGATTATTCCTATTGCATGTGTATTGTTATCAATATTTTATATTGATATCATAACCGAAGCTGGGACCGTTCCTTAGCTTCTTAATGGTCTTTTTGGCCGTAGAACAAAAAAAATTAGGATTTTCAGTGTGAAAATGATTGTATCTTTTTTATTAAAATTTTAATTTTTGGTATAAAAATTCAATCTTTTATATTTGGATGCCAAATCGATGAAAGAGACCTAATTTTTTTATGAAATCAGTGGTCTAGTTTAATAAATCAAGGATCTATTACTTTTTATAAATGAGGGATTTATTAATTTTTGATAAATAAAGGATTTATCAAATATTTTCTTTTTCAAATTTGAATACTTTTAATAATAAGAAAAAAAATCTCAGCCCACCGCCGACCAACGCCCGGAGTGCTGGCAGACATCGGGGAGTTAGCCGGTAGGACCCCTGGCAATGGGCGCCGAGGTTACCCCTCCCCAGTGGTAGCACAAGGCTAGACGCTATGGCCGCGCACAAAGCCCACGAACTTTGTGCATGATCGGGGCAACACCGGTGCTGCTTGGCACTATGCCCACTGGAGGGGACAAAGCAGGGTGCTGCAGGGCAGCATCGCCGTCACCAGAGCTGGACCTCTAGAGTTTTCAAAACCTTAGGGGTATTTTGGTAAATCTATAATTTTTTAAATTTTTTTGAAAAACTAAATATATAAATTAAGCAAATATTTATCCAAATATATTTAAACCAAATTTGGAAAATTCCTGTTAAATTCCACATAAAATGAAAGGAAAAGTTTTCTATTTTGTAGAAATATTATTTTATTATTTTTAGGAAAAGTATTAGAAATTATCTAAAAAATAATAAAAATTTTGGAAAATTTCATAAAATTCTAGAAAAATTGTCCTTGTTATTTCAAAATTTTGAGAATGTTTTTAGAAATCTTAGAAATTTCTGATGTGGCCCTACTAGATTTCATATTAAGAGTTTGTGAATTGTTATTGAAAATAAAATTTTAAGGTTAGGAAGTTTAGAAAATTTATTTTAAATACCAAAATTAATTTATAAAAATCCTAATTAGTCTTGAAGACTTGTTATGGGTAGGCATTTTACAAGAAATGAAATACCCTACTAATATTAAGAAGATTAAAATAGGGTAGTGAAATAAAATATTATGAAATTTCTTATTTGTGTTTGTCATGTCGCATGGTCATACGCATACTTAAACATAAATTAATCATTTCAAGTGGGAGATTTTGGGTAAAGACACACTATGATTTAACTACTCAATCTAGTTCATCTCTAAGAAATCTTATATTCTATTTTTTTAAAAGTTTACAATGATTTTAAAAATTATATCATTAAACACTATGGTTGGGGCCCTAGGTCTTCTTCTCTCTAGTTAAGATGTAGTTTTATTATCAGAATAAAATGCTTGAAGAGTGGAATGTTCTTCAGGAAAGAACAATACCCCTTCAGAGAAGAACAATACTCCTTGTAAAATGCCTATAATCTTAACATATCTATAATTTGAGTATCTTAGTCCTTCTCTTAAAGAGGTACAAACATAATTATTTTAACTTCTATCTCGAACTGATTAGTTATAGATATTTTTGTAGGAAGATCCATTTTCTACTGAGAGCAGGAGATTTTGGCAAGTACTGAGGCAATAATATCCGAGTTAGAATAGAGTTTAACTTGGACTCAAAGATGAGATAGCAATCAGTAAAAGGTCAATAAATTGAGAGATTGTTCAAGTGCTTCACCGGATGGATTACAACGAGGGGTGATCTTATCGAGAAGTTTGGGGATTATTCGAAAACAAAGAGCTTCAAGGATGCTCTTAATGCAAGATTAGAATATATCTCTCAGGTTAGGATCCGAGTTCATATTATTAAGTTGGATATAAAAAATATATCATATGGGCAGAACATTGAATTTATCTTCAGATGATAACCTTTGTGATCATGGATTATGAGATGGTTAGAACTACATCATGCTAGGCGTGAAAAATCTAGGTGGTTATTAGGGCTTTACAAAACTCTTGGAAAGATATGTATTACTTTCGCCGTAGATGCGACAACGTCCAGGATGTGCAAATGAAAGTGAAGTTAATAGTATAAACAGTAGGGTGTGTTCAAGGTTAACATGTCCACTTTGGGTTAGGTAGTTGAATACCTGATACACAAGGATAAGAGGCTAGTTGTAGTAGGTATGCCAAGAGATTTTTAGAATTAGTTCTAAAATAAAAGAAGTTAATTAAAAGAGTGAGAAAACCAACAAATAAGAGCAAGGCTGATTATTTTCATTGCAAACAAGCCGATCATTTTGCACATGAGGACGTGCAATTGAGAAAACTTAGAACTCATTGACTACATCTACAAGGTAGAGACTAGTTTGTAGAGTTCAAGAAGATTCTAATTGGAGTAGAAAGATCTAGTGAGATAATATGTAGTAGTGCTAGGCACATATATATAAAGATTTTCTCCAAATTTAGGGAATAAATAGATCTTGCGATACTCCCACTATAGTTAAGGAATCATATTGGTAGTTAGGCTTGTGGGATTCATGTTAGTTTCTCATACATTGTGACTAACATAGATTTACTTATTAGATTCTCTGCTCCCCATTAGACTTCAAGCTAATTTCTTTGTTGATTTTAAAATATGATTGATTATAAGATAGACTTTATATTCTACTTTGTCTTGTACCATGAATTAAAATTGGATCTAATTTATGTATTATGTATTAGGTCACATTAGATGATATATGTAGGCTTGTCAGGCGCAACCTCCAAGGTACGTGTACCAAGATGTATCTATCCACCTACGTGTATAGTCTTGTTGGAAAAATCACTAGGAAACATTTTGGCAAGGTGAAAACAATTCTATCATAATTAATACACTCTTATACAAGCACAGTGATAGTTATGAAGGTAAAAGTGGAGCACTTTATTTCCTCACACTAATAGACTATTACTCTATCCGCAATAATATGCATTTGATTTTGCATTTAGTTGAAGAGTTTGGATTTATTTCAAGTGCTGAATCAGCAAGGTGAATAATGAATCAAGCAAAAATATTAGAGCCTTGCACGCTAGTTGCAAGATAGAGTAGCTATTTGGCTAGTTCAGAAACTATCTTTAAAGAAGAGAAAAGCCAAGTAGTTGATGATAATCTATATTTTGTAATAAAATGATGTTGAAGAAGTAAGGTGAATAATGAATCAAGTAGTTAATGATAATCTATATTGCTCACAAACATATACACACTGCATCTCATTGGTACGAGAAGTTAAAACCAAGAGGAAAGAAGTGTATGTCTATACACTAATTTTGGGGATGTATATATATTTCAGCGCCACGATGGGACTGAGGCTGAGGGAGTTGCATGATATTAAGTTCCTTAGGAAGGATCTCCCGCATAAAAAAGAGATAGTTTAGAAGAGCCAGCAATGAAATAGGATGGTTCATGTACCAGCTGGGAACAGTGGGAGTGAGATACCTTTAAATGACTAGGAGCCATCTAAGGAATCTTAGTTGCCTCGTTGATCGTTTCATGGACTAGTACCTATAATGACCGTAAAACTTAATACTAATTAAAATAATTTTCTAGTATTTTTAAATATTTAATTATTATTTTTAGAAGAGTATTTATATTTTTCTCGGCCTTCTAGAATTTTCTATGATTTAAAAGTCCAAATTTTATGATTTTAATATTTATAAAAATTATTTTTTGCATTAAAATTTTCTAGAATTAATTTGTTTTGTTATCGGTACTATTACGTATTATTTTAAATAATATTTGCATTATTAATATTATTACTTATTATTTCATATAATATATGGTATTATTAATTACGTATTTTTGGTATAATTTGCTGTATTATTTCTACTGTTACATATTATCTATCGTATTAGTATAACTAGTACGTTTTACTATGTATATAATTATCCCATAATTATTTGATTTTAAACGTGAGTAAATATATTTTTATTATTAATTATTCTCGTTTAATTGTATAATATGTGTATAATTTGACTATTTCGTATCAGCTGTTGTATTAGCACAACATGTACATTTTTATTTGTAGATAATTATTCCGTAAGTAGTTTAATTTTTAAGTACCTGTAATTATTTATTTTAATTATTTTTGATTAAATTCCCTAATCCTAATATCATATATGTATATAAATACCTGT